AAACATTTGTGTTGCGAAACTAAAACCTGTTGCGAAATTAAATTTGTGTTGTGAATTCGAAAATCGAGTTGTGAATTTGAAATTCAGTATTGTGAATTTGGAAATCGCGTTGCGAATTTGACTTTTGTGTTGCGATTTACAAATTCGATTTGCGATTTACATATTCGCGTTGCGAATTTGGAAACTGGGTTGCGAAATTGGAGTTCGCGTTGCGAATTTGTTGGTCATTTTCGCAAATCCAAAAAAAGTTGGTTAAAATCGTATATTATAAGGCATTTTCGGTCACTGAAGTTATTTTCTCTTTATTTTATTGAGAGATGTCCTCAAATGATCATTAAATTATATTAAATGATCTTTTTATCATTAAATTTTTTTAAAATTTAAAATAAATATTAATTTTTTTATTTATTAAAATATCCATTATAATATTAGTTATCGTTAAATATTCAAATATTATTGAGGAATGATGTGACAAATTAATTTAATTGAATAATATCACATTTTTCTCCTGAATTGTAATTAAAATTTTTATTTTTATTTTTTAATATTTTCAAACAATATTTTTAAAAATTTAAAACTTATGAAAATTGTAAAAAATGTATTTTCAAAATTAAAATTTTGAGAATTTTTCTATCACCCAGAAAAAGAGTGCATGATCAAATGCAACCTATCCGAGAAGGCTCAAGTGCAATGCCTAATTGTGACTAGATGCAATAATACACTGATATGACACAATTATAATTAAAAAATAATTTTATTATATTAATATTTAAGTAGATTTAATATTAAATTTTAAAATTTATAAAAGAATAAATAAAAACTAAAATCATAATCACACAACCCTCAACTAATACAATAAATTATTATATTTAATATTCAAATAAGAAAATAAAATAAAATCAACCGGTCCATAATAATATAAGACTTAAATTCAGAATTTAAATACTTTAAGATCTCATTCAAACATCAATAATATAACTAAATCTCGTCATTTTCATTTCATGTATTAATAACGAATTACTATAGTTTCTTTCCAAGTGTCTTACGAACTCAATTGTTCAGACTCAAAACATTTAAACAGTCTTTTAGTAAACTAATTACCAAAGATAATTTAATTAATGACGAATAAAACTTTAACACAATAAAAAGAAAAAAATCATTATTTATGATCGATTTACCAAAAATCATGAAAATTGACCTACATCATGAAAAGAGAAAGCGAGATAGATATTTACCAGTTTGGATGTGTTATTCAATGTAACGATCTTAGGAGGTTATGTTACATTTTCTAAGAGATCTAGTAAAATTAGAAGCTTGTCAACTAACACATACGATTTATTATTCATAATTATTATAATAAGTTTAATATGTTAAATTATTCTAAATAATTACAAGGTTAAATTAAATGTATACTTTAAAATTATTATAGGTTTTATAAAAGCATTAAAAAGATTAAAAAAAACCAAAATTTCATCCTATTTTATTTTCTTTCATTAGAATTTGGACCCATATCTTTAAGTTCCTAAAGCAATCAATTTAGGTGAAGGAAAGAAATAGATTCAATACAATCTAACAACCACCCATATTAGGGTATAAATATAAATTGTAATAATAAAAAATTTAAGGTTTAAATGTTAATTTTAAATTTTAAATTAAAGATTAAAGTGTAATTTATTTAATTTCGAAATTTTAAAAACTTAAAAGAAGAATATTTTTATAAAAGAGGAAGAGATTGTTTGAAATTAAATTCTAGACTTATTATCAATCATAACTAATATGATATCATTTGCCATTACTCCATATGCTTGGTTGACAGATCCAGGAAGTATTTAAAACCAAAACATTGGAGATAGTATTTATTTTGCCTCATTTCAGTTTAAAGCCTTAACTTTTAGTTTATATTAAAAATAGCCTTTAGTAGAATCCGTATTTCCTTAAAATAAATTTTATTTAGATATAAATAAGAAGAAAGTAATTTATGATTCAAGTAGGATAAAAATATTAAAAACAATATTGCACATTTATAAAAAAATATTTTAGTCTAAAATAATAAAATTCATATTGGTATATGGACTTGTAATTTAATCATGTTGAGAAATTAACACAAACAAAATAAAAATAAGTGTGTTAAAGTGATGCTAAAGAATTTGTCAACAGTGGAATGAGAACTCAACGTATTCACGGTTAAAAATATGTTATCGGTTTTGTTATTATTTAAATAATAAAATCGGTAAAAATGACCGAAAATATTATTATTTCTACCAGTTTTAATTACCGATATAGGTAAACGCGGTAGAAAAATCCGGTAAAAAATAATATTTTAGGTATATGGAGGGTAGACATTTAGGAAAGTCCCTTTCTAACACGCCATTATTATTATTAGGTAGAGAGGTGGAAAGGCCACCAACACATTTCCCATTTCCATATGACATTGACCAAACCTATCCCCTCGTACCCAATAATTTAAACCTCTCGCTCTAAAAATTGTATTTGTAGGAACTTAGTGTGAAGTTAATAAAATATAATTAAATAAACATTAACCATTCACCGTAATTCAAGTTAAAATATTTAAACTTATTAAATAGTCTTACTAATAAAAAATATTGTTTTTATTAAAAAGAATAAAGTCAAACAATTGTATTTGCAAGATGAATCATTTTAAATTATTAAAAAAATTAAAAATATTTCATTCTTTTAAGAAAATCAAATCTTAAAATGCAATACCCCGAAATATGGGTCACTAATTTGGGTAAACCCAAAGCTCGTAAATCGAGCCCATTAGATCTCTCAATATAATTTAGACCAATTATTATGAGTATTGGCCCTAAGGTAGGCCCAAGAGTTATGGTTTTATGAAGGATTTTAAGGTGGTGGACTAAAAGTATACCCATTTCTAATATAAGAGGATAGAAACCCCTTTAAATAAGGGATTTCACGTAAACCTAAGCCCCAAAATTATCTTTCTTTTTCTCTTTCTTTTTCCTCCCAAGAGCAAACTAAAAGGTAGAAGTTTTTGAGATTTTCAAGCCTAGATTGAAGAAACCAAGGTAAGAACCTTAATCTTTATCCCTTAAGCTTCATTTCAAGCCCTAAATCTTAGGTTTTGGGTAAGGATTGAGAAAATGAGTTTTTGGGAGTTGAAAGAAATCAAGGGTTTTAAGCTTGTTTTTGGGTAGATTTGAGTTATAAGATTTGTATTTAAGCTTAATCCAACCTCTAGTTGAGTAGTAATCCATTTCCTTGCTTTGATTTAGTTAAAGAGGTGGAAGAGAGTTCAAAGCTATAGATGAAGGAAGGATTAATTCTAGTTGAATTGAGAGAAGTTTTAGCAATCAAGAAGGCTAGATAACACACTCAAAACTCCTTCATACCCTTAGCAGGTCAATAGAAATGCAAGATTGCTAAAATTTGAGTTTGAGTATGTTAAATAGATTTTCATGGTAGATTGTATGTTTTAAAGTTAAAGCATGTTTTCAAGCCTTATTTATGACCCTTAAGATTCAAATAAGACTTGATAAGAATTGGGAAACCTCAAGGTAGAAAAATTAGTGAGTTTGGGTTCTAAATTCGTGCCTACATAAGGCATGTTTAAGGGTGAGTATCGACACTATTCATGTTTCAAGCATATAATCAAGAGTTTTAGAAGAATATTATTGATACCCTTTCAGGAGTATCGATATTGAGGGTTTGGAATCGAGACCGAGGGGCTTGGTATCAAGACCGGGATTCCAGTAGGCTATTTTGGTATTGGTACTCTATGGAGTACCGATACCTAGGGTCTAAGTATCGATATTCATATAAGAGTATCAATACTTTCCATTTTCTTTCAAGGCATTTCAGCAGGAGGGGTATCGATACCTTGGGTAGGGTATCGATATTGAAGAGAGAGAATCGATACTATAAGGCCAGTATTGATACCAATGGTATGGTTTGAGCTTTAAAGCAAGAGAAAGTATAGAGACAAGTGAGGGTATTGGTACTATAAGGCCAGTATCGATACTAAGGGTAAGAAATGGGCTTAAGTTCAGGAGGAATTATAGAAGCAAGTGAGGTTTCCCAAAAGCCTTAATTACTTCCAAATAAGGCTAAAAGTGAGAACATAAATAAAGTTTATTTCAAATGTAGAAACGAGAATAATTAGGAGAAATAAGACTAGCCTTGTTTGACACTTAGAAAACGACCAGGACACCCGAGTTACATTAGAAAAGATAGTAGAGTCGAAAGTATAGACGCAATCTGGATATATCCTTAGGGAGTGCGCAAGACACTTTAAGCTGACTAACTAAGGCCAAGGCCTGACAATCACAAGGGGTGGGTTAGTCGAGAGTGTGGTGTCTGATGTAGAGAATTTTGGGGGTCACATTCTCGGTAAACTAAAGGGGTGCGTGAGCTCCGAGATGCAAAACTCTCAGCCGCACCATAATGTCTACCATATAGTAGAGAGTGAGTATACAAGTATACTCACTAAAGAAAAGAAATAGACTTGATAGCTTGATGTATTTTCAGTGATGCACTTTTAGTATGTTCTAGTTATTAGTGTAGCACTGAGCTAATTACCTCAGCCTTTGGATTTTCCGTTGGCATGTTAGTGGTTCGTTCAGTTCGAGGAGCCTTAGAGTGACTGAGGTCTAGATCAGTGCAGAGCAAAGTATGCCATCAAGTTTTTTTGAAGTGCATGCATATTCATAAACCCAATTGTATTGAGTTGTGAAGTCATAAGAGTCGGTTTGTATATTTTTTAAATATATTTAGTTATTTTCAGAGCACTCCAATGTAAATTTTTTAATGTTTTTGTATGGAAAAAGGTATATGAAAATAGTCACTTTAAAGTAAAGAGAAGTGAGAGAGTTGGTTACTCACTCCAATGGTTCCGTGTGGCATCCTTAATTAGGTCAATTGTGTATCGTACTGGTTTATAATACTATATAAGAAAATAATGAAAAAGAAATGAAATGAAGAGTAAACGCCAAGAAAAGAAAATTCATTAATTGCTCATCTAATATTCACTGAAAAATATTTCTTATTGATCACAAAATATTTTTCATAAATTTAAAATCTCTACAACTTGTTCACATATTTAATTGTAAATTTTGCTATCTTTTTTCCCTCGTATCAAATTATTTCTCATTTATTCTATAGCAAAATGTACAATTTACTGCAGCTCTATATGTATAAAGGAAGAAAGTTAAAATATTAAGACCGAGATAAACAAACGATATACTAAACGACGTTTATTTCTTCACTGTCTTCTTCCTCAGACATTGCCATTTTCAGACGGTAACACTGCATCTAGTGACGAGCTGGTACTTAATAGCGTTTTCTCCGACCACAACTCCGGTGCTTCTGCTCCCGAAGGTGATATAAGCCGGACACCTAACGTAAAGGTGATATCTTCCGGAGACGAAAGCTCCAACTTTCCATCTCACCCTTCCATCAATCTTGATAATCAAGAAAACCGACCCGGCTGCCTGTTGGGATTCCAAACTGGCGCAGAATTCAGGGGCAATGGGCACCGAGTTGCCGTTGATGAAGGGCGACCAGACGTTTATCTCGTTGTGACCCTGGTACGTCGGAGGGATGGATGTTCGGAGTGTGATTTGCTGGTTGTTGTAAGTGGCGTAAACGTCGAGGCGGTCATAGTAAATGCCGATTCTGTCGTTGGGGTTCCGAGAAGATAGAGTGATCTGCAAATTGGAGGTGAGGAGGTTGGGGGTGGAGGCGTTGAAGGCGTACACGGTTGTGTCTTGGAGGATGAACCTGGGCTTGCTAGGGCGAAGGATTGCCCAGATGAGGAGAATTGTTATGAGGACTATCAGGAGGAAGATTAGGATGCCGGCGATGATCCGTCGGAAGATTTTCCGGCGGCATTTTCCATGGTCGCCGCATTCTTTCACCGACATCGTTGGTGGAAAAGAGTGGAGATGGAAGTTTGGATGAGAGTTTGGAAGGGAAGAAGAAAATGAAGTGGATGGGAAAACAAAGGAGCTCAAAGTGTTTATGCTTGTGTAATGGAAGGATCACTCATGTGATGTGTAAAAGAAGTGGGGGTTATTTATTTAGTTTATTTTAGTAGGTTAAGATGATTATAGAGTAATATTTATTTTATATATTTATTTAATTTGAAAATAAAAGAAAAGTTATTTTAATTTTTGTTTTCTTTTAATCTTTTAGTGGAAGGGATATCAATCAATGATTGAATTAAATTTTATTAGCGCACTTGAAAGTCTGGTAAATGTATATTTATCGGTTCTGTGATGTATTGGTAAATTATATTAATTTAATTTCGATTGATATTAAAAAATTTAATAAATCTTGTAAAAAAATAATAACACCTCCCTTAAATACGTGAAAGAATCAAAGAAAAATAATACCACGTGATTTTTTTTGTAAATACATATTATTATAATTTCCAATATTGAACATACAATTTTTACTTGTTGCAATAATTTAGTAATTAAATTCTACAAAAAACTTGAACTAATAAAATACCCTTAATGCAAGGCTAAGTCAGAAAAGGAAGCTCACTTTTTCGCTAATCAAAACGTAGGAACCCATAACAATAATAGAGAGACCAAAACCATTATTAAAAAAATTGGCATAATACACTTTTAAGTGTCTAAAATATACCTTAAAAATATGTTTTAGTGTCTAAATAATTTTCTGCTAATAATAAGTGTCTAATATTTCTAATGTTATATTTTTAGGTGTCTGGACCTTGACAGTCGTTATCTGACACATGTCACACATAAAATTTCAAAAATTATTTTATTTAAAAAACTTATTATTAAAATTTTAAAAATCTCCAAATTTTACATCTTTAACCACTAATCGACCACCGTCAGTCCATGGTCATAACCGTTGACACCATTAAAACTGTCTCGTCGTTGCAACGAAAACCCAATTCCCTACCCACTTGAAATTGCATCGACACTTGTGAAAAATACCGTGAATGCTCACCAGATTTCTAGAGCTTTCGTTGATGTTTTCTGATGATTTCTATGGCGCTAAAACTGTCAGCACATTACACAGCTGTCATCTTTGAGTTCCTCATTCTACTCCGAACAAAACTCGATCGATAGTGACCCTTTGCCATCGATGGTAGGGGATGGAAAGGAGAGGGACGATGTGGGGTTTTATTTTTTTAATTTTTTTCCATTTAAAAAAAATATTTTTATTATTACAAAATTTAAAAAAAAAACAAAGTTAGGCACTTAAAAGTATTACGAAGAAAACTGTAGGTACCTGAAAGTGTAACGGAGAAAATATTAAGCACATATTGCTAACAAAAAAATTCTTTAAGCATAAAATTATATTTTGTCATTTTAAGATATAATTTAGGCACTAAAAAACATATTAAGCCATTAAAAATAAATATTAATAAGTTTTTCTAATGTTTATATTATTTAAATATTTTTATTTTAATTAATTAAACTAAATTTAACCGAGTAGTATTAATCAATTAGGATTTCGTATGACAAAAGATAAAATAGATTGATTTTTTTTATTGAGAAAAATAAGCGTTGTGAAAGAAAAGTAAAATAATATAAGCTGGAGTGACACGTTTTCATTAGAATCCAAAACCCAATTATCATGAGAGGGAAGCTTCCAGCTCCTCCACCGATTTTCTTTTGAGGTTCAGGAATATACACTAAGCCCTTTGTCGCCTTATTTAGTTCATTCAATTTTTTAATTAATTTATAGGTTAAATTATATGTTTAGCACCTAAACTATTATTGTTATTCTATTTTACCACAAATATTTTATTTTTCTCAAAACCATATCTAACATTTAATTTAGGTTTCAATTTGCTATATCGCCATTAAAAATTAGCAGAATTGTTGATGTGATAATTTTTTTCCATTTTTGCAATGATAATATAACATTACCTTATGATGACATGAAAACATTACTTTTAAATTTTTAATGATGAGATATCAAAATGAAACCTAAACTAAACGTTAGGTGTGATTTTGGAAAGAATAAATAGTATCAAAACGGACTAAAAATAATAGTTTAAGTACTAATTTATAGTTTACCCTAATTTATATTATTGCTTTGACGACACATGTAAAACTTATTTCAATTAGTTGTTTAACTATCAAAATTTATTTTTTATACACCATAAAATTAATTAATAAATTTTAAAACTTGACATTTATAATGTTTTGTCTTTTACTTTAATTAAGAGAGTCCAAAGACTAACGTGATAGTTGGGGCAGTGGACTCAATAAATTAAAATTGCATTGCATTTCTATTAGTTAGTCGTTTGCAATGTCAATAAAAACACTGATCTCTCCTTTTTGTGTGAATAAATCATATTTACAAAAAGAAAAAAAGAAAATTCAAATTCGTTGCCTTTTTATCTTTTCTATTTCTATTAATATTAAAGGTTTAAAAGCACATTACCTTTGCGAAAATCCATTTTCGTGAATAAATAGGGATAATAAAAATACTATATTATAAAATTTATCCTTTTTTTGGAACGAATAATAATGTTAAAACATTCATTTTATGACGAAATATTTTAACCCCGTAATAATAAATTTATAGTTCCATCTATGTTTTTCATATAAGTATCTATAATAATTTTTAATCATATAACAGGTCAACTTTAATGTACTTTAATGAAAAAGATGATGCATTTGAAGTATCTATTTTGATAAAAAAATATTTTAATATTTATTTAAAAATATAAATATTTTAGATACATACTTTAACTAAAAATATTTTAGATAATTAAATAAAAATTATATTTCAAATGCCTAACTTTTTTTTTTAAAAAAAAGATAAACCATTCTGCTGTAGAACCTACACTACTTAACATTAGCCAATCACATTTGATCTTAATATAACTTTAATATGATTAACATCTCTAACACGAAAGAGATAGCTAGAATAAAAGTTCTTGCTTCATGAAAAAGAAAAGAGAAAGAAATGATTTAATGTACGACTCACACTACCACCAATCTTAAATTCTAAAGTACCTAATACTTATCCTAATTTTATATATAGGAGAAAGAGAAAAAGCCCAAGACTTACATGTCCTTCATAATGTTTTAGGGAGAAAGAGTTTATAATCTGTTTCTCAAGCTAAATTATTGTTGTTCTCGTTACATGACATTTCACCCACCAAGCTAACCTAATTGAATTTATTTCACATGTGGAACTATTTGCTTTAGTACCATTAGTAATGTACAACATCAAAGTGAACAAGTTGTATTTCTTTCAATGGAAGTCAATTAAAAAATTTAATGTTTCTTGATCAAACTTGAGCCTACCATGTGGAGTAATCCATTTAATCTTTGATGTCCGAATTAATATCTATTGAACCCTTTTACCTTATATAAACAAGTCTCCCTTTAAAAAAAAGTTGGCTTATTTAATTTAAAATTTTATTTGATTCAAACTTTCATTCAACTGATTCACGTCACTTTTATTAAAAATAAAATATAATAAACTCGATAATTTCTCATATATTTTTAAATTGAGGAATTCTTTGACCACAAAATGGGAACTCCACTTTCTTTAGAGCACTATAAGATTAAAGATTAATGAAAACTGCACACCAAGAACTCAACAAACACTAGAAAAGTAAAAAAAAAGGAAAGTGATTTATTAGGGAGCTTTTTTATTTAATAATACAAGATAAATATAAGTAAGTATTTATTTAAAGATAATTTTTTAATTATTTTACATTAAATATTTATATTTATATTATTTGTGGTGCTCGAACTCAAAATTTCAATAAATAATAATTAAAATAGTGTTGGTAACAGCAAAAGTCGTACAAAAAAATGAAAAATGAAAGGCTGAAGCAATCCCTTTAAAGGGCATGTTGGTGCTGGGTTCAATTTTTTATTTTGGGGCGGGGGGTTATAAGATTCCTAAAAGTCAGCTTTTTGGGCACTGACATTTAAGCTGATTCCCATCCCATCCCTTGCGCTGTTTGTACAAAGTCCCTACCACAAATCTTCTTTGAACCTCTAAATCTCCCTACAAGTATTTTTTTTACATCAAACACTTGTTCCTCTTTACATTATTATTATAATAATAAAAAGATTAAATATGTGTAGAAGTATTCCATATTTCTTAACCAAAATCTTAATAAGTGAAATCAAACTTTATTTAGTTCATATATATATATATATATTTGAGTCATAGAAATTTATATATTTAAATTTTGATGAATTAAAAATACATATAATCGACTCACTCTCGTCCCTCTACTCCTAGAATAGGTATCCAATGGAACGAATCTTCTTTAATCAAACAAGCAACAACAGAACTAAAATTTGAACGCAACATTAAAATTCAATTTATTAAATGCAAAAGCAATTCTGTGTTAATTCATATTTATAAACATCCGTCAATTTGTTATTAATAAGATTATTATCAGTTGCATTCATTTATATATTTTTTTTCATAGGAAGCAATATAATGGTTATAAATGTCGTATTTATCTATTTTAATTTCATTTGTTATGTTTTTAATTTATGTTGGTGTAAAAAAAATTCACTGGCAATATATTAAATGATTATTCTATTATATTGAACTCATCGATTTTAAGATATTTGTACGATTGCAGTTTTAGTTAATTTTTTTGAAGTTTTAAGTTTAAACATCATATATGTAAGGATGTTTGAACAATTCTTGTCAAATGATTGAGTATTTGAATGTTTGAACAATTCTTGTCAAATGATTGAGTATTTGAATATATACTACATTGTATTTACCTCAGATTAATAAAAATTCTTAATAATATATAAATTATTGAAATATATAAATATCATTATTAGACCGTTAATTTCATATATTATAAAAGATTCATAGCGTGTGACAAACGTCAAATTAGACCGTTAATTTCAAGGGAATTGCCCCACATTGAACTCTCGACTGTTAGGGAATTCACTTGGAAGAAAAATCCAAACCGAAAAAGTGGGGAAAAGATGGAAAGTGAGTGGAAATGATTTTTCTGGGAATCTTATCAATCCACATGTAGATATAGATATACTTTATTGGAAAAGTAAATGTTTTCTC